AAGCACCGGGTTTAAACCCGGTGCTTTGCCCATCTGTAACCAGCTAACAAGCTCGGATTCTAACCGCTGAGAATCCATTTTGAAGGGATGTGCTTGATGTAAATGAAAATATCGATAATCCTATTTTCATGTCGATAAAAGTTAAAGTATGTAAGGTATTTATCTTATCTATCTTTTTGAAAAAAAAAAGCAGCAGCTGAGTTTCTCGCCCGTTGTTATTGGCTGAATTTGCCTTCCAAATAGGCGATAATGAAAAAAATTACTATTCAGAAATGCTCAAATCTAAGTTTACTTCAATAAAAATATTTCTTTCTTTCTTCAATTCTGGATATATGTTTGTTATTGTTACTATTCGCGCGAAAGCTGTACGGATTTGAATGACATTTGTTACACCGGACGGTTATATCCTTATTTCGCATCTAGGATACTTTATATACTAGTACACGCAAGCAAAGCCGCCGGATAAAGTTAATAGTAAGTTTATTAAATAAAATAATTTACCATATTTACATATTGATGTTTTTAAATATTATCGATATGTATTTTGGAAAAAAATCCCATCACTAGTCACACTCATCGCGAGTGGTCGCATAACGACCTCGATAACGAACCGCGGTGCATTGTTATCGATAAAATGCAAAGCAATCGTATCGATAGAGTGGAGCTCGGCGCTGACTCAAATATTATGCAATCCATCTGTTAATGCTCTCGTGGTGGGACTAGCGACGATATAGACTTACAGTTTCCATAGTTCCTCTTGTGATTTCTTTATTCATTATAAGAAGATGAAGAAAAATTGAATTTAAACCTTATAAATTTATAAATTTAACCAGCAAAGACAAAGACAGTTTTATCAAATTTATATACATTTTTATAATCATCTTAGCCGTTATCCGTCCACTTCTGAACATGTCTTCCCCATAGATTGCCATAAGGAACGGTCCTGAGCCACCCGCATCCACTGACTCCCTGCAATGCATTTGAGGTCGTCCTCTAACTAGTAATGGGTCGTTCTACTGTGTTTGCCTGTACGGGGCTGCCATTCAAGAACCTTTTTTGGCCACCGATTGTCGGTTCTTCGAGTTATATGACCAGCCCATTGACATTTTAACTCGCTTATTCTTTGGGATATGTCGGTTACTTTGGTTCTATTGTGGATATCCTCGTTTCGGATTCTATTACTCAAAGAAACGCATATATATATATATATATATATATATATATATATATATATATATATATATATATATATATATATATATATATATGTCGATTACTGCTCAGTTTGCGACTGCGCCTGCTGAATGCTCAGCAGCCAGATATTGTTTTTAATGACAAGTCTGATTTTCTAAGTGTTGTTTGAAATTTTTCGTTTTTGTAAAACGGACTTGTCGTTCACTTCATACATTTTGGGAAACTCTAAGTGTAGTGAGCGATTTATAAATAAATAAATAAAATAAATAAGTAAAATAAATAAATAACAGCGGTAAGGAGACGATGTAAATCTTAATTCTATGTTATTTCTATATTCATGCCAGTGTGGTAGCTGACGCAATTAATATTGTTCAAAATAAACGTATCAGGGTATACAGGAAGGGTCGCAGTGAAATATACCAGTAAACTATTTTAATTAGCCGCGTCCACTTGCAACAACTTGAGAAACGGTGGTCAGAATCCGACTACGTACCTACTACTCTCTGGATTCGCATACTCAAAGTTTTCACGGTAATATCCACTGAGATACAGTCTCGACCTAGTTCGGTGGCTAGTAGATTTAACTAAATGTAATTTATTATTCAATAAAGACAGTTGTTATAAAAAAAAAATCAATTTGGCAAGCATGCAGTCGTTGAAGAATTAAATTAAAAGCTATGATTATTTGTCATGTTTTTTTTTTTATACAACTTAGAATGGCAAACAAGCTGACGACCCACCTGATGGAAAGTAGTAATCGTCGCCTATAGACATGAGCAGTAGCATGGACATAACAGAATATACTGTTTCGCCCATGATACCCCCCATGCGTTGCCATTCCTGAGGACTCAGATGTTATTCCTCTGTACCCTGTAAATTCACGCCATATCCCACCCTTCAAACCGAAACACAGCCATGCAAACACAACTGCTTCACGGTAGAAATACGAATAGGACAGAGGTAGCCAAGCAATTGACTTTTGTACAAAGTCTCCCCTGGTAAATTGTCTGGTAATTGTCATGAATACTTCCACACTATTAGAATATGTTAAAAACGATCATAACTTCAGCTAATCGAAGTGTTGTGTATAGTAAAGTATTTATTTATTTATTTATTAGCACATATATGTGTACATGGCGGACTTAGTGCTAAAAGCATTCTCTTCCAGTCAACCATAGGCAAGTGTCAGAATACTCGAACTAGTACCGCAACTAGTAATTATTGATATACATACATACTAAATTATCATCATCATCATCATTTTGGCCATTAATTGTCCATTGCTGGACTTGGGTCACCCCCATAAATGGGGGGGGGGGTTAGGGAGTTTAAACGCTCTTAATTACGTACGTGTGACACCTATCTACTACATTAAGTAGGTAGTTCCAACGTTTCGCGTAGGTATACATACTGCATATTTAGAATCGTGCGTGATCTACAACTCGGTGATGAGAATTATACATCGCGCATGCTTCCTGCTTATTCTGTCATAGATTAATATGAAACGGACTGTCCAAATCTATATTTTGTTTCTCTCGTTGCTTGGCAAGCGCCGCTGTTGAAATTTACCAGTATATGCGTACGGAAACAGATATTTTTACTAATATTGTAAATGTGATAGTGAGTTTATTTGTTACCTCTCGGGGCCCTAATGAGTTATTAAGTACTAACTTTTTTACTAACTACTAACTGTTACGAAATTTTTTGAAAATATTTAGCTAGATAGATATATACTCTTTATTGTTTCCTTCAAAAGATTACAATAGTAAACTTATTATAAATATAAACAATTACAAGAAATAATCACAGTGAGAAAACAATTTAATGTATTTTATACTGGTTAATTAACATATTATAGGCCGTGTGGAATATATAATACGCCATTCTTTTCTTACCCGTAGATACCGTAAGAGGCGACTAAAGGAGGGCAAATATAGTTTGACAGTAAAAGTTGTCATATATAGCGTTTATCCTTCTAGCATATTCAGTGTGGGGGAACGGATTGTTGGTGTGCACATTACCAACAATCCGTACCAGTCCCATTGCTAGCAATATACCCTGTTAGGTTGACGTCCACGTGGAAACCACTATGCTGAATTCCAGGTGTATTCATCACGATGGGCAAACTTAATCTGCCTTTTCATTCTCACCCATCATCCCTCACTGGTGTCTCGCCAGCGTATACCGTTAGCGCAGGCGGAGTCACCATTACATTATTCATTCATTAAAAAAAAAAAAGCATATTCAGTGGTATTTTCGAACATATTAATATTAATTTAAACTAGAAGTGAGTTTGTTTGTTATTTTTAAGCATTTTAACCGCTCAGTCAATAAAAGGTTACTCTTAGAATTACTAGAGAAATGCCTTTGTAGGTATCTGACAGCGTAATTTACCTTGTCTATATAGTATGTACATATAACAAGTTAAATGTTTCAGACAGATCTGTTCTCTTATGTCACAAATATTATCTACCTAATATAATATCCATTGATTTTCCTTTCGCAGACTGTTTTCAAATATTCACGCTCTGTCTCACCACCGTCAGATATAACTTATAAAGAAAATGTCCAAACTGGAAACTCAGTGAATATTTTATTGCGTTTGTTCAAACATCACTAACCGGTATTTTGGTTTATTGTAAATGTTTAGAGTACCCGGTATTGATGAATAATGTTTTGAAATTATTATTTTTTTCTAATAGTATTATAAATATCATTTTAGAATTTGAATGGCTCAATTATTCGTCACGAAATTTAACATACACTTACAATATTGGATTGGCAAATTTTTGTTACTAGCAGTTCACACAGTCCCAGTCACGTGAACAAAGTTGTGAGAAAAAATTGTGTATATAAGCATGAGGTGTGTGTAAAATACTTACATGACCAAGGTTAGTAATCTAAGATTAATTCGTTATTCTAAGATAAATACAAGATAAGACAATAAATAATATTTAATTATCTGTATATGTATATATATATATATATATATAACACAATTGTAATTGTATTTAATCTGTATAAATTAGGAGTGAGGCGTATTTATCATAACAGATATAAATCACAACTATTCGAAGATACAGAACAGATAACAGTTGTTCTTGCGATGTCATCATAACTGTTAAAAAATATTAATTATAATTCATACTCAAGTTATTCAACCACTATCAAGATACAACATTTTCAGTATTCGATAACAGTCGGTCAATAATATTGTTTGAAATAACAGAACAGCCAATAAAAAAATGAAACAACTATTCTTGTCTTCATATTTTGTATAATATTGTCATAAGCTAAAACGAGACATACCTAGTATTTATTTGAAATAAACCAAAATTATAGTAAGTCGTTTCATAAGAAGAAGTCCCCTTTGAAAAGCGAATTCTTAATTGTATCGTATTATCTGTTATTTCGTTGATTAATCTAGCTCGCTCACACCCATTTGATAGACTGTTGCTAAAACGAGATGCACCTAGTATTATAGTTAAACTCATATTTGTATGTTATTTCCTTCCTAATGGGCCGTGGTTGAAAAAAATAACACCTGTTATTTAATAACTGATATTGGTACCTGTTATTATTGCGTAACAGTAACAGTAATAACAGTTATTATATTTGTCCTGTTATAACCCACGTCTAGTATAAATAATTGATATGAGGTTTATACACAAGAGCAATAGAAGTCGACATATTACGCCGACTCTAAATAAATATAGGAAAAAGGCAGGAAGCAAGAGATAAAATGTGAAATAATAATCTTTCACGTCTGTAGTGTTTATTCTTTGACATTTAATCAAAGGAGAGTCTTTGCGCGTGATCACGCACTATTGCTGAGGAATAAATCAAGTATTGATGTGTTTGATATTTACACCTCCTTCGTGTCTTTATATTGACGACGGATATCCTGATATTCTTAAACCAATCTTGAATTCAACTTATTATATTCCAGTAAGTCTTAAATAAATTATAAGGAATATGTCAGAGATCACGTGAGTATATTTCTTTCCTTTTGAATAAACTAAACAACTAAAAGTTGAATATTTCCTTATAAGTTTTTGGATGAAAATTTAATGGGATATTGTTTGTCTTCTGTGAAATCGTTATTATGTTTCAGAACTAGCAGCAGCTACAGCTCTAGCTGAGTATTTGATTTTCGGAATATTGTAATTATTTTTCTATAAAAGTTTTTAAATAAAAATGAAATCAAATTTTTTAGATTAATATTAAATTTTATACCTACTTAATATTTGTAATAATAAAATTGTTTGATGGAGATTTAATTAACTATATAGTCATCTCAAATTATTGGATGGGAAATAAAAAATAGTTACATAAATCGTTCACTATATTCCTCTCAATTAATAAATATTTTAATTATAATGGGGTTTAATTATTTATTATACATATTTACTTATTCACACATATAGAGATAAAGATGATCTAATTAAAACAAATCAATGATACAGGTCGAGCCATCTATTATTTATATCAACAAATTATATCATTCAGTTTATCGATGTCTATTATTGTTTCAGATATTGTATAGATGGCGCTGTTCACAGTTTACTACTTTAAATGTGGTTATAAATGACATTAGGAGAAATTTTACAAAATTTAAATAAAATTGTAATATCTGACTATCGTTTTTTTCTATATTATCGCAATTAATTTAAGACATTAATTTGACGTGTGTCCTTACCATCCATAGGTATCCACAAAATAATAATAGGTACGTGTGTTTGTAACTTAAACCGTTTTCAATTAATAAAGATATACTAATATATAAAGAGGATTATCGCAGTCACATTGCCATGTGGCCCCGGTATGCCGGGGTCACATAAGAACGGGTCGCCCATTCTATGGAATGGGCGACCCCTTCCTTTCCCGTGGATGTCGTAAGAGGTGACTAAAGTAACTTAATTGTCGAGGGATAAACAACAGCGTCCCACTTAAAGCATTACTAAAGTCTAACTGCGGTTGCCAAATCGCCTGTCAAGCGTGGCAACTACTGGCAAAACCCCCCAATGGTGAATACTGTAAAGAAATGCTCATCTAACTTTTACTTTAGTGTGTGTGACCATATACAAATGTGGTACTCTGTTTGTGTTTGTGAGGAAACGTCTTCAGTAGCGGTCCAGACAGAGGAGTATTATACTCCTTGACCCAAAAAGTCTTTGGATTTTGGAAGAGCGTGCCGTGTTATCGTAGACAGTACTATATTTACCTTCTATGGTCATATTTAAAAAACATAGTCTATCAGATTTATATCAAAATAAATAATAGGCAATAGAAAACTCACCTGAACGGCGTCATCCAGACACCTCCCCCACGCGTCACTTCTGTCCACCAGGGAGTTCCACTTGTCCGCCAACTTGGCCACTTCGCGGCGGATCGAACGAGCAAGTTCGCGAGCTTGTTCCTCTGCAGAGCGGTAGCCACGCGAGTCACCTTCGCTTTCACGGCTCGCTGAGGAATAAAAGGAAAATTAATAAAGTTGTTTACAATAATACACGCCTAGACAATGGTGAACCGACAGGGGGGAAAGGGATTGTTAGCAATGGAGTTTGACAGCCCCATTGCTAGCATTATGCCCTATTAGGTCGACCTCCACGTGGTTCCCCCTGGAAGCCATCGTGAACAATGCTTGTTGAATTCGTCACGATGGGCTAACTGATCTGCTTCATCCTCTCCTATCATCCTTCACTAGTGCCCTACCGGTGTATACCGATAGCGCGGGTGGGGCTACCATTCCATTATCACCCATTAAAAAAATAAATGGTGGACCGACATATAAGGTTGTCTGTAAGAGATTGCCCTAGCGATAAGACCGCCTTTTGTACCTTTATGTGTATATTTCAATCTGTATTTATGTTACTGTATTTCACTTGAATTATTCACTTGTCATTGTATATTTTTATTTATGGTGCAATAAAGAGTTTAATAAATAAAATATAAATAAAAGTAGTGAGTAGGCTGTGCAAACAATTATAGCGCAATGGTCACCACACTACCCTGCTATATTCATCGCGCGGTTGAGACGCCCTCTGTGTGACACTATACTACTACAAGACTGTCTTATTGTTGCTCTGTAAATCTTATTATAATATATCTATTTAAAGTCAAACTAAAACAGATAAATATATTTTTTTTTATGAAAAAAAAATCATAATGCTTTCTAGGGACAACCCCATGGAGGTCGACCTGAGAGAATATATGCTAGCAATGAAGATCAACGTCCTCATTACCAACAATCACTAAAATCAACAAAGAAGTTAGTTCTTATTGCCATCAAAATAGTAAGATCAGATCAGGTTACCTCCACGCGGATATATTTATTTATTTATTTTACACTTTATTACACCATTTATGAAATATTAAATACAGTTAATTTTAATGAGAAATGAAACAAAAGGCGGCCTTGTCGCTAAACAATCTCTTCTACTCTAGAGACTTCTCTTCCTTTGGGTAGAGGACATTGAGAAAAAAAAGAGAACACCTGATGGAAAGTGGTAACCGTCACTTATAGACATGAGCAGTACCATGTTCATAACAGAGTATACTGTTTCGCCCATAATACCCCCATGTATTGCCATTCCTGAGGACTGAGGTGTTATACCTCTGTACCCGGTAAATTCACACAAATAAACAAAACACATCTAAACATGTACGGGTATGTACATGTAATACAAACAGTAATATGCAAAGTTGTTTTAACCAGCATAGATTGTGAGGAAACAGCTTGCCAACTTTTAAATTATTGCCTGAATAGTCTAGCATTACCAGAATCTTTGCTATTCGAAGCACGCCTGTGAAGCTGGCTTGGAGATTTCATTGAATTTGTTGCATTAAATATTAAAATTTGATATATCCAATGTTTTCCAACCTTTTCATGACACAATCTAGCATGAAAAAATAATTTGCGACCCCCAACACTATGCTTTTTATTTTTATGTATTTATTTAATCTTCAAAGATTGTAAAATACATAAAAATAAAAAGTTGTAGGGACCCTTTTTATTTTATTTTTTTGTCTGTCCATGGACATTTTTATTTTTTTTTGTTAATTTGTATTAACATATAAATGTTTTATTACAAATAATACAATACACGACAGATATGCATTTTCATACAACTTTTGCCGGCCGCTGCCCGCATGTATCTGGCCAGTACGGCAATTTTGATTTATCTCTAAGAAGATTGTCAAAATAATGCTCACATTTCCAAGCGTGTTTGAGAAAAAATTAATAACCACCGCCAAAATTTACTTGCAACAATTTGTACTCGTATAAAGTACGTGCGGTTTTAATAACACATGTACCCACTTGAGAGTCGAGCGGTCGCTAAAAAGGACGGAATTTTAATTACGTCGTTACTTCCGCACGGAAGAATTTAGGTGCCTTCAGACAAGCGGACAGTTTAGTTTAATAGTTTTTTTTTTTAATTAAGACATATATTTTAAGTGTGTCCGTATATAATTGCTCTGAAGTCCCGGCATAGAATGAGCCATCCTTTCTTTTCTCGTAGGTGTCGTAAGATGCGACTAGGGAGGGCGAGGGATGGGCAGCAGCATGGCAACTACTGGCAAAACCCTCCATGGGGGAGGCTTTTGTTTAGCAATGGACAGTTAAAGGCTGATATAACGATGATATATTTTAAGTATAATTTTGTTATATGTTTTTTTTTATACAACTTAGAATGTCAAACAAGCTGACGGTCCACCTGATGGAAACGACGACCTTTGAGGTCTGTAAGAACTAACCTCTATATATATATAGAGGTAGAATCTAAAATAAAAAATACGATTTAAAAGAACTTGTAATAAGTCTATTTGAACAAAGAAGATTTCTGTTATATTTTGGTATTATATATATATATATATATATATATATATATATATATATATATATATAATGTGTAATCTTTGAAAATTAATTATTTGCGTCGTGAGTTAGAAAATGTCATGGCCCAGTATATAATAAAAATAATATATATATATATATATATATATATATATATATATATATATATATATATATATATATATATATATATATATATATATATTATATAATAAAAATATATAATTAATTTTCAAAGATTACACTTGGCACCCACAAGTTGGTAACTAGAATTTTCTAGAAGGCTTAATAAATAAGTAAATATTATTATCATGTTTCTATATTATTTCTCAGTAAATAACAAACAATAGGCAATAACCCGACAAGTAAAAATGAAGGCCATCAGTGGGTCGCGACTCGTAGTGCGTCGATATTCGACGTTCATCGACGAAATGGCGGTCCTGATTAGGGTTGGCATCTGTGGCCATGAAAATAATAAGGTTTTATTTGTCAATAAACAAGAGAGAATACTTTCTTGCTTATTATTTCTTGTACAACATTCACATATTATATTTTTAACAATACAAAACGAAAAACTGATAAAAACTTTTGTGTTATCGTATATAATCTACAAGTATGTAGGTATATTTATATATTTATATTTGTATGTATGTATTTGTATTACATATTTGTATATTTATGTAATATTTGTTTAATGTATTCATGTATGTGTATTTATATAATCACAATGTGCAGTAGTTCTCTATTGTATGTGTTGTAATTTTTTTCACCGCATAATAAAATTTTCTGTTTTTCCAAAACTTGACTGGGAGAGTATGCTATATAGTATTAAGTCCGCCTTTTGTACCAGATATTTTTTTATAATATGGTCAATAAAGAATAAATAAATAAATAAATAAAATAGATGTAGAATCGTTATTGATTGAAATAGAATGGAAATTGTTATTAATTAGTGTTTTAATAATAATAATACTATTGCAGCCTCTAAATAAAATTATTTTGCGTGCGTATCTTAGTAATCTGTTGATAACCCTATCATTTATAGACATCTAAACAGTTTTTCAAATTGTCACCCGCTGTGGCATTTGGGGACGGGGCGTCTCGTCGTCGAATTTATGACTTTGTTCGCAGCAATTGATCCAATCACGGATTGGTGGAAAGCTGGCTGTTATAATGAAGGTACTCTTATTATAACAACTTCGGTATTATTAAACTCTCTACATTTTTAAGGTCTAAAGAAGAATTAGAACTTAAATTCGATTCCTATTTATTGTTTATTTGTTTCGTAAAATATTAAAATATGTCTAATATATATAGTACTCAGAGTAATAGTTGCCAATTTGCAATTTTGTATTTCTCCCAAATTCAGAATTTTTTTTTTAAATGAAATGAAACGAAATTCAATTAAATTTATTGCAATGAATATGGTAAGTTTGGATATTATACATTTTGTGTAGCATTTTTTCTACAAATTGTTATGACTTCCCTAATTTTTACCTAATCACAAACCTATGTCTGTTTTCATTACGTTTCTTACGAACTAACAACGAACAAAAAAATTGCTGACATATTAACGTTCAACTTAACTTCATTTTATTACATTCTATGTTTCGATATGACTTTATGTAATTAACAAGTGCCAAAACTCTAAAAAAATTACTCAAATATGTTAAATTAGTTAATGTATCATGAGGTTATAAAGATGTTAAAACATTAATTTGTTGTCCTCTACCCTGCTAGGGTGTTGCAAATTACATATATACTTATTAATCGTACACTGATATAGTAAATTACATGATAAAATATACAGAAATGATAAAATTACACTCTGTACAATATAAATTAAAATTTCATATCAATAATTATACAAAACTAGAAATTATATAATGTATAATTTTGATATATATTTAAAACTTACTCTTCGTTTTGTCTTTACAACTGAAAAACTCTGTTCATACCGATTTTATTTTTTATCAACAATTCCATTTTTCTAACACAAAAATATTTTACCCAATACTGCGAAATAAATTCCCGATCTGGCAACACTGCTTTATAGTGTTGTGAACTTAACAGCAGTTCAATTTTAAAGTCCTAATCAATCGAGCTGTATAGAACTAGGCGATCGTACAAGTAGACACAGGTCAGTTGAAACAAAGCTGCGACTTGCTGAGTGCAATTACGGCGAGCCTGATTGCACTAATTGTGAAATCGGATTGCTGATGGCTCGCAATCAAACTCGTTGATATTCACAAGGAGATGGTAATGGGCGCGGCGTCCAATCAATTGACGATTGGTTTTTTTTATACGATAATTTTGCAGCAGAGAATTCTTCATTGTGAGAATTTCATTTCGTAAGAAAGGTTTTTTTTATACAACTTAGAATGTTAAACAGGCTGACGGCCAACCTGATGGAAAGTGGTAACCGTCGCCTATAAACATGAGCAGTATGGACCATGGACATAACAGAGTATACTGTTTCGCTCATGATATCCTCCATGCGTTGCCATTCCTGAGGACTCAGGTGTTATTCCTCTGTACCCTGTAAACTCACGCCGTATCCCACCCTTCAAACCGAAACACAGCCATGCGAACATAACTGCTTTACGGTCGAAACACGAATGGGATAGAGGTACCCAAGCAAACGACTTTTGAACAAAGTCTCCCTCTGGTAGATTCTGAGAGTTGGAAGTTTTTAGTTGCCGAATGCTCGTGGCATAGAACGAGCCACCCTTTCGTTTACCGCGGGTGTCGTAAGAGGTGATTAAAAGAAATAAAAGGTTGAGGGACGGCAGATGATGCAGGGAGGCAATTGCGTCTCTTTTAAAACGTAATAACTGCGTTTGCTAACCCGCTGGCCAAGTGTAGCAACTACAGACTAAACCCCCTAATAAAAGAGGCTTATGACCAGCAGTGGACAGCTAAAGGCTGCTATGATGATGATGATGTATAAATGAATCATTTACAGAATTCCAAATTTGAATTGTACACGCACACATATAACACTGGTAAAGCACAAATTAATCATAGATTTGATCAATAATTGCAATCATTCGAGTGTTATCGGCGCAGGCATATCTTCCACCTGAGTTGCGTTTCGGACGTTGATTGCAGCAGAACGTGACCGAGATTGTAGGGCTGCCAATTGTCTATAACTTGAATTACCGTCAGGCAATATACAAAGGAAAGAAGAAAAAATATCAGAATCCTCTAGATAGCTATAATACTTCAATAATTGTTTGTTACAAGCTGTATGTTGCCACCTGTACTTATTAAAATAGAAAAAGTATCACCAGAGAGAGACTGTGTACAAAAGTCGTTTGCTTGGGAACCTCTGTCTCATTCGTATTTCTACCGTGAAGCAGTTGTGTTTGCATGGTTGTGTTTCGGCTTGAAGGGTGGGATATGGCAGCGAATTTAAAGGGTACAGAGGAGTGACACCTGAGTCCTCAGGAATGGCAACGCATGGGGTGTATCATGGGCGAAATAGTATACTTTGTTATGTGCATGATACTGCTATTGTTTATAGGCGACGGTTACCACTTTCCATAAGGTGGGCCGTCAGCTTGTTTGTCATTATAAGTTGTATAAAAAAAAAAAAGGAGGAAAGGTTCCGAAAACAAATAATTTTCATTTTACTGAAACCTACTATTAACAACGTGATTTTTCGTACATATATCGAATTAAAAATATGTTACTTTGGTTTTTATAGTTTTAGTTTTTAATATATATATATATATATATATATATATATATATATATATATATATATATATATATATATATATATATATATCCAATCATATACTTGGTAATTCGCTAATTGCGAATTGATGTAAACACATTATTAAAATGAAAATTATATTATGATAATTATTAAGTAACTGAAAAATTTTCAAAGCGAGTGTCAGTTTTTTTATTTTTATTCCATGTAGAAAATCTTAAATCATATCATAATTAAAATAGGATGAAAACAGAATAAAATCCTTATTGATTGCAGCAATAAACATCAAAAATTATTTAGTATTAGTGACGTAAATACATATTTATAAAAAGAAATATAAATCAAGAGCTTTCTTCTTTTAAAAATGTTAAACTGAATTTCTACAATTAGTAAACTAAACGTTAGAGACAACCCTATAGGAAAACATATGCATATTAGTACGCATCCAAAATAACAGAGATTTTCGGCCGAATTGTCGATATATGCTTACGTAAACGAAGGATTTATTCGTCTAAAGTATAAATGGTGCTTCTAGTTAGAACAGTTATTACAGATAACACCATAGTCTTCAGGAGTGGTTCACAGCAAAATTTGGACGTCACAGAGTAGTGTGTGCGCCTAAGATGCATTTCAAGTCTATAGCTGATATTTAGGTACAATTTTTTTTATCATATGGGCAATATCAAAATTATGCTACCTGCTGTTTACGTTGTAGGCCAGTGTATCGTTATATTTTTTTATACAACTTAGAATGGCAAACAAGCCGACGGCCCACCTGATGGAAAGTGGTAACCGTCGCCTATAGAGATGAGCAGTACCATGGACATAACAGAGTGTATTGTTTCGCCCATGATACCCTCCATGCGTTGCCATTCCTGAGGACTCAGGTGTTATTCCTCTGTACCCAGTACACCATATTATGAAATCTTTCACATTATTTATTGATTCTTTATTGATCACATTACAAGAAAAATGTGTGGTACAAAAGGCGGACTTAGAAAACCCTTCTTTACCTAAAATGGTCAACAATTCACATATATTTTTCTTTTTAATATTTTTATGTAAATATATATATATATACTTACGTTCAGTATCACTGGTATCGGACAGCGGTGGTTCGTTGGCTATATACTGTCTACCACTGAGCAGGTTGCTTTCCACCACCGGCCGTTTGTCCTCCAACTGTCTTCTGAAGGCCCGGTGATCATCCTGAGAATATAAAAAAAGCAATTATCCAAAACGTCCAGACACAATATTATGCTTTGAAAAATAAAAACGGCTACTTTAGTTTTAATAACATACGCAGACAAATGACGAGATATTTTGTAGACACATTAGATTGAAATTATGCGGTCACGTGTTTACAAGGAAATTTCGCAACAAGCATTTTTTGATCCACTAAAGAAGTGGCAGCTTCAATTAATACTAAATAAATATGTGACCAAAGTACAGGAGTAAATTCTATGAATTGCAAATAAATAATGTGTTTCCCGTGTGGTCCCGGCATAGAACAGGCCACCTCTTCCTTTCCCGTGGGTGTCGTAAGAGCCGATTAAGAAAGGGCGAAGGATGGGCAGCAGCCTCTTAAAACATCTTCAAAGCCTAACTGCGGTTGCCGATCCGCCTGCCAAGCGTGACAATTACTGGCTAATTAAAAAACTCCACTTAGGAAGAGGTCTATGTTTAACATGGAATGAATAATTCTGAAAAACGCTATAGAGAATCGCCTAATAAAGACACGAAAAAATTGGACGAATGAGAACATCCCGTGTTGGAAGTTCCTTAAAAACAATATGGCGGCACTGATTGAAAATGTATCCAAAATACAATGTCACTTTGATCATAAAAGTGTGCGTGGAACTCATTATAATAATTCAAATTCAAGATTAGAATTTGTCGGTACAAAAGAACAATCAATTTTAGATTTCGATATAAATGCAAAATACTTTGAAAGGGATGATCTTTAGGTGTATTATGTATTAAGTATTCCATATAAATTATACAACGGGATCATAAAATATTACGCGCTATCGGATCGCTTGTTGCTAAAAGCGGCCGTTGTTTTTGATTTTCCACTTTCTCTGTAGGAATTTATTGTGTTCAACGAGCCAACAAGTAAAATATTGTATGCAATTACCTTTTGTCCTTACAGTAAAAAGGTTACTAGTATTTCTTTTTTTGCTTTCGTTCATTGAACTTTTGGATCCCGAATTATGTTTGTTAGAGGGAACTTTGTGTTTTTAAGTGACTTCTAAAAAGAGAGGGGTTTCAATTAGTGTACATTTCTTCATGCGTATGTTACAGGATATCTTGAATAATTCTGGAACGATTTTGATAATTCTTTTTGCAAAAAATTATTACTGTGCCGGTCCCGTATTGATTTTGAGATGATCGAAGCTGCTGTTTTTGATTGCGAAGCAAAATTTGCTCGAATCAATTGTTACTTAATGTAACACAAGAATTATCAATAGACATAGGCATTTTTAACTATGGGTCAAGATCTCCTTGATCAAGTCAAGTCAATGCAATGTAAAATTTTGCAATCGATTCCAAAAAAAAAAAAACTAAAGAAATTATAATTAAAATTGGTTCAACTTCTTTAAAATTTAACGAAAACACCAAAATAGTACGTTACGAAAACTGTTTCATGCGATAAAACAGAAATAGGCTTTATTTATTGTAGTTTAGAAGAACTAAACAGACAGACTGTCAGAAATAGCGATTTTTTTTATAATTGTATACGCTAATTTCTGAAGAAGTTCTAAAATCTCGAGGAAAGTTATGCAACATTTTCATACGACCATGATAGAAGCAATAGGATATAGTTAGTCTTAAAAATGATTACTAATACCAGTCTGTATTATAATATTCCGATTCAACAGTTGAATTCACGCACAAATTTGCGGTGTGTTAACTGACGTACGCAAAGTGGGCTCGACCATGCCACCGCGTTGGCGTAGCGAATGTACAGTGTCCACACGCGGGCAAATTATTCATTGCTGACTCGTTATTTGTTCGATATTGTTTAACCTTTTGCTCTCTGGTGTCACCGTTTTTGCGACATTAAAATGCTAACATTAAATCCAGTGTCGCGGCTATGGCGACACGGTTGTTTCACTGACTCGACGCCCTTAACACTTAGGTAAGCAAAATCGTCTGTATTTATCTTATAGTGTTCATGATGTGTTAATTATGTTTACATTATAATAAGTTATTGAGTTATTGGTAAGCTCTATGAGTTACTAGGCTTTTTTTTTTTTAATGGGTGATAATGGAATGGTAACCCCGCCCGTGCTTTCGGTATACACTGGCGGGGCACCAGTGAAGGATGATAGGTGAGGATGAAGCAGGTCAGTTAGCCCATTGTGACGAATTCAACAAGAATTGTTCACGATGGTTTCCAGGGGGAACCACGTGGAGGTCGACCTGATAGTATATTGCTAGCAATGGGTTCATTAGACCCCATTACTAACAATCCCTTCCCCCTGAGTTACTAGGCTGGAGTGTAAAGGGTTAATTTTATAATTGTCTTATCACTGACTTTGTCAGTATTATTTACGAAACTTACAATGATAAAACCTTATTGAAAGCGGTAAACGTCACCTGTGGACGTGAACAGTGGTCGCTTTCAAAATACAATAATTATTAAGGTGAATTATTTATATTTTATATTTACTTTATTAAACAAATATATTATTTAGGCATTATTAATAAATGTATTCGTATGTATCGTTATAATAAAATTTCATTTCTGTATATTAATCAGGTCATACAGGGTTACACTCTGGGTTTGTTGCATTCGTCCATGGTATCCTGAAGAGTAAATTAATTGAATATGATCCTCATTACCTGTTGTTTGAGCAACGCCTGCAAATCGCCGCGAGGTGGCGCCAGCGCGTTCAGTTCAGTCTCCTTTCTGATCACCCACTCGGTGAGCTCGCGGAGTGACAGAAGCAGTGCCGACCAGTGTTCCGCGTTGCTCTCCAGACGATTTCTGAAACAGTCCATTTACTTTTTGAGTCTTATTTATTTTAAAAGAAACACGATAAGTGTATAGATATTAACAATAAGTATGAGTTTTTATATTTAGGGCATAATTAGGCATAGCAAAGCATAACATCTTTTATTATAGCCAGTGGTTTCTTAGATCTATTTATTTTTTTGTTATTAGAGAGGCAAACGAGCAGATGGTCCACCTGTTAGTAATATAGAAACAAAAACTACTCGACGGATTTTAACGAAACTTGGTACAATTATTCTTCATACTGCTGGGCAGGTTATAGTATACTTTTCATCACGCTACGATCAATAGGAGCAGAGCAGTGAAGAGAAATGTTTGGAAAAGTTGGAAAGCGGCTTCCGTCGCCCATGAACACCTGAAACACGAGAGAATTTGCTTGTGCGTTGCCGGCCTTTTAAAATGTTTGTAGGGACGTTTTTTGAATTCCCCCATATCACATTGTAAGGAGAAGACTGAGGACAGGAGCTCATTTCACAAGCTAGATGTATGAGATACAAATGAACTGGTTGCACATGCATTACTAATATAATAAAATTGTAATTAAACGATATTTATACATGAGAAATATTTGAGAAAAATTGATATAAGGGGTCTTAATAAGAGCAGTAGGAGCCAAAACAATATTTCTTAGAAATTTTGTCCGACTGTCAGTTAGTCTTTGTTTTTATTTGCAGCTTAAATATGCGGCAATAACTTCTGCATTAAAATTAGATGCGGTTGTTTCTTGTTGGGTTCTTAAAAATCTCTCTCAAAATCCACAACCAAAGTTTTGATCTAAATTTTATTGATGGTCTGATATGAACTCCAGACCTAAGAAATACCCAAGTTAACAAGCTGAAAGTCAAATGAAAAATTTGTCCCAACGAGGAAAGTTAAAACAGCAAAATATTTTTTTACATAAACCGCACGGTTTAGTGTCTTGGATTTTCGGCTTGGTCCAGTGATAAAAAACATAGTTAACAAAAATCTAATACAGCCAAAACATGGCGGCATAAACTCGCAGCTTGAGCTATATTACATATTAATTATTTTTACAAACAATGCAGCAAACAAGCATACGACCTGCTTGACGGCGAGAGATTACTGTAGCCTACTGAAGACCTACAACACTGGGATCACACGTGTATTGCTGTTCCTCGTGAAAATATTTTAAGAATAATCTTTAATTTCACTGCTACTGCTTTAAATCAGAATACAGTATACAAGCGAGAGTTTAAACAAATAAGTACTGGCTTTGCTAAAGCACATAGTGGAATGCAAATAATGTGTAATAAAAGCTGTTAGAGTCATGTATTAGAACAAAGCGAGTTCAATTTCCTCAATAATTAAGATTTAAATTGCTTCGTAAGAGGAATTGGTGTGAAAGCACTTGATGTATTGAGAATAAACTTCAATTAATACATTTCAATGAATGAATATTAATCAAGGTGTGTTGACGGAGCATGTTACCGTACCTTTTTATCACCGGAATATATTTTTTTACACCACTGAGGTGATAAACCAAGCACACGGCTTACCTGATGGTAAGCAGTGTACTGTAGTCTATGAATGCTTGCATAAGTAAATAGTAACAAAGCATCCTCTCATTTTTTTTTTCAGAAATACAGAGGAATATGAATTATAAATTGTACAATATACCGATTGACCAAGATAATATTTTGTTATAAACAAAGAAATATTTCATCTGTAATTTTTGAAAATTTTGAATTGTTTATTTTTTTGCAAAATATACTGTTTACGTCCGTGGTATTAATACAAATATATTAAATATATTTACGCTATAAATCTCAATTCATTTTAATAAGACTTAAATAAGACTCATCATCATCGTCCTTACAGTTTGTCTATCCACTGCTGAATTTAGGCCCTCCCCAATATCTTCCAACATGTGTGAATCTCCGCTTTTCGCACTGAGGGTCGGACTATATTGGTCCTTTTTCATTGGAGAGTTTATAAGTCACCACGCTGGTCAAGTGGATTGGTAACTGGAGATTTTGGAAGGATTTTTTAAGATTGTTAAACAAGTTTAGGGGAAGGGATAGGATTTCACTATATGGAAAGATATGGGATACGATAGTGATTGATAGCTGCGTTCTCAGCGGGTGCGTATCCGAATTTATCGGAAAGATAAACTCCGTGAACAAAAATAAGAACAGCCAGTATTAATTCAGTCACGATTGAAGTTGCTGTTAAATATAAAATATATAGTACTCTATGCTTAAAGTCTTTAATATTTCTGTTGTAATTTGAAATAAAATTTGGCGGATGTTTTACCCCAAATTGCAGCAAAAATAATTGCAGCGATTATCCAAATAAAACGAGTGTAAAACTCCCCGAAACAAGATAAGGATCTTTGGCGAAATGACGACTTCACTGTACTCGTAGCCTTAATAGAGTACAGCCAGGCGCAAGTCACTGTACCAAGATTATCTTCATTAAATCAAGAAACATAAAAGGCTTCCCTGCAGACGATAATTCAAAAACTTGGCTCGTGTGTAAGCGAAATAAGCGCGATTGTTGAAATTTTGGCCGAGGCACAGAACTCTAATATGTTTAAGCCGTGGATAAGACTAGTGGTGGGGTGAGCTCGGAGCTGAGACTATCGATTAAATGCCTCTGCATGCTTCGATTCACACGTGAATCCAGATATAACATTTTTTCTCTTGAATCTATATGTAATTTCTTTTCCTAAATCAATCATCGGAAAGCATGATTTACGGTATGAAATACGTCTTTACTTATATGTAATATGAAACTCTAGTAATAACAAGAGTAATAGTTAATAATTATTAAGCAGTATTGTCAAGTAATAACTATATTACTTAATGTTACATAATTGTTATTGTTACGTTTATTGTTTATTTAATACTAACCAATTATCCAAGGACAAAGGTATAGATTTTTTGTTCAAATATATTGGTATATGATAAAGTATCTAACATTTTCAACAGTATTTACAACCATCAGGACGAGTGGCGGTCCTCCACCGTGTGTTTTTCAAGGCACTTTCTTTCACGTACAACCACTCTTTAGAATCAAATTCCAGCAGCAGTAATTCTGAACCGATACGACAACATAACCTTCAAGAAAAGGGCATATTCCCTTTTAAAAGGCCGGTAGCACACCTGCAATGCCGTTGGTGTTGTGGGTGATCATGGGCGGCGGTAGTCACTTACCATCAGGTGAGTCGCATGCCCCTGTGTTGTAAAAAAAAAGTAGCCACATTTCGTCATACAAAAAGCTTTTATCGACATCGATAAAACCAATATAATATTACCGCACACGTTTTTCACAAATCCCCGTTCTACAGAGGCAATTGCACTGAGTTTTATACTTTACCGTCTCACTTAATGTTATTTAAATTATACAAAATTGTGCCGACAAACTAGTATCAACCTTATGTTTTTGGTGTAAGAATTGCTTTGCTCTAATAACAAAAATGTATTCAAAGTCTGCCTTTAATTAATTAGGCTACCTCTGTGGTTCTATAGAGAGCATGCATTTAAAGACGCTGCGATGAATACAATGTACGCTTTGCCAAGAACCGCTAAAATGTACCATCATTTTAGCGGTTATAAAGCATATATTTGTTTTTAATAGTACATTACTGCAGCGGCCAGCAACTGAGGCATTGATGGACGAACGTACAAATGTGGGCCGAGGCGTAGCCGAGGTACACATACGTGAGTCCATCAATGCCTAGTTGTGGCCAAGGCTTGTATAGTACTTTTATCAAACAATGCGCGGAAGTCAAAATTACAATTTTAGTTTTTAAGTTCAATGATGAATAACGAACAAGTTCCTTGTTTTTTTTTTTCAATAAACAGCTTTCTATTTGCAAGCCAGTTCGAAATTTAAATAAAATCTTGTATTATTTATCTCCTTGGTAGCCATGTTTCCAAGTAAAAGGTCATTCCATTTTTAAATTACAGGACAGATATGAGTTTACATAGTAATTTATCTGGCCGCAAAACACGACAGATATGGATTTTCATACAACTTTTGCCGGCCGCTGCCCGCATGTATCTGGCCAGTACGGCAATTGTGATTTATCTCGAAGAAGATTGTCAAAATAATGCTCACATTTCCAAGCATGTTTGAGAAAAATATTTTTTTAAAAGTAGTGACGGATCTAAATTCGTTTAGTTTTTAAGTCAAAATAACTAATTTTGCTTCAACTGAAGTCTTTTTTTTTTGGAACACAATCTTAAATATAGTAAGTTTGTAACACGTCAGGCTTCTAATATTATTATAAGATCGTTGATAAAAATGCTGTAAACGATACGTCATATATCTCAACCTCTGTTCAATTGTTGAGTTCGTTTTGTGGCTTTTTACTTCAGGATGGCAAAGGATTTGTTTTGTTCGTATTTGCGTAGAAATCAGGTGCGCCGCGGTCGGCCCTTTGTTCGCACAAAGTTCATGTTTTGTGCCGAATATTTGTATGACCGCTACTGATGGGTACGTGTTGACTTTTTGTTAACATTTCCCGTATTATGTTTGTTATTTGGAATGAAGAGTGTTGTGGTTTGACGGTGTACTACCTCCACTTATGGACCGCAAAGGTCGTGTGTTCGAATCTGGCTCACTATTTATTTATTTGTTATAAATTACAATAACAGTTTGCAAACAGAAATGAACCATTAAAAAGAAAACAACACAAAAATTTATCAATACGCAGTTTGCCAACCTTACATTGTAAACACCATTTAACAGTAAGTTTGAGGTAAGCGTTATAACATTTTTACATACATACATACATACATATCGTTCACACCTGTCTCCCATTAGGGTAGGCAGAAACAATGGAACGCCAAATGCTTCGATTCAAACAAACCTCTTTCGCTAACATTTTTATAGATGTATATTACATTACTGATTACAGTTATGAACCAAACTTATTCTATCCCAAAACTATACAACGACTTCCTAAACCCAATAGTATTCTGATGAAAGATATTAAATCTATATCA